CTGGATATGTCCTTTCTGCAGAAATATGCCACAACTGGGAGACAATTTCCACGGGTAGAGATACCGAGTGGATGAAAAACTAATATACTGTAGTTGGTATGTCTTCAAATGCGTAAATTCTCGGTACGATAGCATTAGTTCCTTAAATAAATTAAAAATTTTAAGGCAAAGTCTGGCTAAGTTTATCATGTTTATATAATTAAATTACGAATGCGACATCTTTGCTACTGGGAATTTAAAAATGATATTAAAAAAAGTTAATGTGTTTGGCTTCCCAATTTAATATCAAGAAAGACAACTCAAATTGCCTAAAAGTTATCTTCCTTAGTCTGAATGAAAAAATTAAGTTTATATTTTAAAAGTTCACTCTTGAACCGTTTAAGGACATACGAAATTTTACATTACACACACAAACATGATAAAGGAAACAAGTTAAAAATATAAATAGTGCATCTTTCAATCGCACTACATGTTAATGTTAAATAATCCTATATACATATTATAGCATTATTTTAAAGTAAAAATAGTTTGCCTAAGAAATGTTCCTTATGTTACATAATTCTTGAACATATTTAAAGCGAAGTACGTTTATTGATTATAAACATTCATGGAGTGTCACAATACCAATTTTAAAATGAAATTTCCTTATGACACTGTAAAACATACCTTTCAAAATGAAATGGAAGAGTTACTCATCTTCTGTTTTTCAATCCCTCAAACTTTCTCGAAATCATAACATTCCACATAAAAACATCATGCAGCATAGGACATATAGGTGTCGGAAACTAATTGAAAGGGGGAGTGGTAAATGAAAGTCGCAGGGGTGGAAAATCCCCCACCCAAGTAAGTAATGCAGTTTTTAATGCTTATATTATGAATATCTTTTCACAAAAAAAGTGGAGACGGAAGAGGGGTTAAGCCCCCCTACCCCGTTCTATTTAAATGTATTATGTGGGTGAGTATTTTGGTAAATATTATACGAGTTATTCTTGTTCGTTATTTTTATTACTCTATCAGTTAATAAATGTTCAATCACAACATACTGAACATACTAATAGTCAAATTCTTCCTAAATAATTAAAATACAAAGCTTATCTTTACTTTAAAAAAAACCCACCGTCATAGCAATTATTAGTTACACTACGAAAGCCTATTAGGATCAATCTAAAGAGAAAAAAAATTAAAAGGCGTTATAACGCCTTTTTAAAAGGCGTAATAACGCGAAAAAAAGGCGTTATAACGCCTTTTTAAAATATAATGCCTTTCCATTCAAAAGGCGTTATTACGCCTTTCCAAAAAGCGTTATAACGCCTTTTTAAAAGGCGTTATTATGCCTTTCCAAAAGGCGTTATAACGCTTTCTAAAAGGCGTTATTATGCCTTTCCAAAAGGCGTTATTACGCCTTTTTAAAAGGCGTTATTATGCCTTTCCATTCAAAAGGCGTTATAACTCCTTTCCAAAAGGCGTTATAACGCTTTTTTAAAAGGCGTTTTTATGCCTTTCCAAAAGGCGTTATAACGCTTTCTAAAAGGCGTTATTATGCCTTTCCAAAAGGCGTTATTACGCCTTTTTAAAAGGCGTTATTATGCCTTTCCATTCAAAAGGCGTTATTACGCCTTTCCAAAAGGCGTTATAATGCCTTTACAAAAGGCGTTATTACGCCTGTTTAAAAAGCGTTATTACGCCTTTTTAAAAGGCGTTATTACGTTTTTCTAAAAGGCGTTATTACGCCTTTTATTTTCAATACATGACTGAAAATATGTAGCCAAACCGAGGGGGGGGGGGTGCAGAAATCGTACCTTTGGGACATGAATTTCACAATTAGATATAGGACTTATTTCTCAAAAAAAAATAATTTAAACAGATAGCAATTACATTTCCAGGAAAAAAAAAATTTAAAGCTACAAGATACATCTGCTTATATCCCAGATCTTCACAAGTAGAGTGTTGCCTTCTCTTAATACGAATGCAAACAGTTGTCAGTGAGATGTGCAGGAATATAGAGAATTGCATAAATAAAGATGGTTTTAATTCTTTCCATTCTTTTTTTTTTCAAGTAGGCCAGTAGTACGAGTGCAATTGGGGTACCCACCTCCACACATACACACTTTATGGGGAAAAGTCTTGCGGTTTAAATATTATAATTAACAAAATGTTCAGGAATCAAGCAACCTGGTTGCTTGGTTCCTGAACATTTTGTTGCAGTATGTAAAACTGTGGCAAATTCTTGCATTTGAATAAAGTTTTACTGAGAAGCCCCCCCCCCCCCCCCACGACTTTCGTCAGTAGAGTGGGGTGAGGTGGGGGCTATTAAAAGCACGGGTCTGTTAAATGTAAAATAAAGGTTATTCCAAAATCGTATAACCCTTTTGGAAAGGCATAATAACGCCTTTTAGAAAGGCGTAATAACGCCTTTTGGAAAGGTGTAATAACGCCTTTTGGAAAGGCGTAATAACGCCTTTTGGAAAGGCGTAATAACGCCTTTTAGAAAGGCGTAATAACGCCTTTTAGAAAGGCGTTATAACGCCTTTTAGAAAGGCGTAATAATGCCTTTTAAAAAGGCGTAATAACGCCCTTTGAATGGAAAGGCGTAATAACGCCTTTTCAGAATAAAAAGGCGTAATAACGCCTTTTAAAAAGGCGTTATAACGCCTACTTTCGCGTTATTACGCCTTTTGAAAAGGCATTATAACGCCTTTGAAATTTTTTTTCTCTTTAGATTGATCCTAATAGGCTTTCGTATTACAGTTAGCTTTAACGAACACTAAAAAATCCTTATTTGTATTAGAGATAATATTTCCCCCTCACGCACTATGAACAGTCCCCCCTCATTTCTCTGGTGATATAAATGGTTCACAAAGACTCAATATATCCTTGATTGATAGATGAGGTCGTATTTTACTTTACATATATTGATGCCCGTTAAAGATGCTATGTGTCGTCTGATCTGATTAATAAATGTCTCGTGTACTTAGTCTCTTTTTAATGATTTTAAATTAGCATTCATTTTGTAAAGCTCTGAGCTCACGGTGTGTGAAACATCACAATAAACAAATTACTCCCATTACGAAATGGCTATATTTCAATTTAATTTGAATGGTGAGGAAATTAGAGAAGTTAAGGGGAAGCAAGGAATTTAAATAGCTATAATGTTATCTTTTTAAACGATCTGACTCCCCCTTCAATGTCACATAGATGACGCGGCTTTATGTTTATTCCTTAAAGATCCTTTTTTCATTCACTCTTGTCCGTAAACACTGCAGAATTATGCATGCATGGTGGTAATTCAACGTGATCATGGATTTAACAAGAAAAATAAGGTGCCTGGCCGTGTTCATCAAATAAGATTACAGTCGTCTGCTTCAATCAATACTCCATGTAGTCTGCAATAGTACGAAGATATAATAGAGAGAGTCCTGGTCCAGAAAGGCGGAAACGATTCTTCACCGAATGTTTACCACCCAGATATGAAAAATCATATTTATATGTGAAAAATTATACCTTCCTAGGAGATAGAAAAGAGAAGATGGATCCCGGATGTCTTGTACACCATTTATAAAGGTAACATTTACTGCACCGTCATTATGCATCGATCGTCCATTAGATTTAGTATGCATGCAGGTAATATTTGAAAAGATCCCCCGTATGTTATTTTCATCTGTGATGTACATGATAAGCTCTTTGATTGTGTGTGTTTTGATTTGATTTAATGGTGTATAAATAGATAAAAGGTTTCGTTCTTCTAATTAAATCTTAATCAATATTGTATTGAAATTCAAATCACGTGTGCTGAGTAACTATATAGTATATACATGTATATTTATATATTGTGTAACCTTTAAGAAGATTATAAGTATCTTTATTTTTTATCTGTTCACGAGGAACATCGTAGTTTGTCACTACGATTTATCCTCTTAATTTCATTTTATACTTCTTCATTTAAACTTAATATTATATACAATGACAAGGGTTTTTGTGCATAGGAAAAGTACATTTTAGTAACTACATGTATATACACTTGCACGTGTTTGCCCGTATGTTATAATAGGCAACGGGAAGTTTCTACCAGTATACATAAGTCTGTTAAATTACTGAATAAATTCCACAAAATTCTTGATACATCTATTTACACCATAAGAAGCAAAACAATGCGAAGAATTGTGCAACAACACGTGCAGGTCTGGTAAATCATTTGTCAGGTATCGACACACCTGTGCACGTTTTTAAAAAATTATTTCAGGCATACCTGCAATGCCGCAGTCTGCAATTCAGAAAAAAGTACGTAACGCAAGAACATATCAAAAGACTCCAGGCAGCAAACTTCTCGATTAGGGCATACTCTAAAACCTGGCCTGGCCCCTTTGGCCTGGCCTGGCCTCTAAGTTGGCCTGGCCTCTATTTTGGCCTCTAATTTGGCTTCAAACCAAATTTTGGCCTGGCCTCAAAAGTTTGCCTGGCCTCAAATTTGGCCTCTGTAAAAATTTTTGGCCTCACTCAAAAACATTTTCTTTTTAGGAATTTGATTTGATTTTATTGATTTTTTATTGGTTTCATTTTTTTTTCACAGATTAAGCAGGTGATTAATATATTTTTGTTGATATGTAAATGTGAACATTAAAAATAATCATGTACTACCACCAATAAGGATTATTTTATTGATTATCAATTGATCAGTGTACAGTTATTTCATTTTATCATTTACAGGTATTTCATACAGACACGCTACCGATACTTTTGATTATAATTATTTAGAAAAAAAAGTAGAGTAATTTTGTGTTTTCCAAATTGTGAACATTGAAAAAAATCTCTAGTAATAATTCATGTCAAATGTCATTAATAGCTTTGAAAAATTCCCACTTGTTAAGTAGATGAATCATCATCTTTCACACACTGTGGAGTGTTGTGTTACTGTTATGCCTGCATCATCTGTGTGATATATGAATACAGGCACCTAAGATTTTTTTTCAAATAAATATACCAAGACAGATACCAAAATATTTATATTACACTTATTTGATTACTCTGTTAAAAATTCATGTTCACTTTAATCTAAGAACAGTTGGTATTTAAAAAAAATTAAGATAAATAACATTATCAGATAATTTATAACTTTCTGTTCCTGGTGTGCCGTAACACTGTAATTGGATATCAAATGACAAAAAATTCTGCAGCAGGGTTCTTGACAGGGAGTTTAAAGGTTGAAGTTAATCAGTAATGACATGTATATGTGCATAGGCTGTTAAGCCACCCATGATTTATAAAGAATTTCCTGCTACAACTTTCACTGCCTACAATTATCAAAACAAAAGTTGAGTTTGATGATAGATTATTAAAATTTGTGCTGTAAAAGAATTGCATCCTATTCACCATTAGAACCCTGTCATATAAAATGTGGTCAATTACTTGCATATCATAGTATTGACTCTTTTTCTATCATTTGTAAAAGTAGTCAACATCATCAAACAGATTTTTTAAATTCTAAATAAAGACAGTTAAAAAAAAACTTGTATTAAACAAGTAATACTTAAAACGGCAAATATAAAATTCTTTTTAGTTCTTAGTTAATTACTACTCATCTGCATTTCTTTGTTGTCTTTATAATTTAATTGTGATGTTTCTAAATATTTTTTTATATAAACAATATTTTATTCACTGGTGTTATCGTGAATAGGATTGGGCAGCAGGCACAGCCTATTTTAGCCCTCTCCCTGATTTTGTAAATGTTTTTTACTCTGTAAAAATTATCATTCCTACCATGGAAATTTAAAAAAATAGAGGCACATTTAATAAATCATTAAGAGAGTGTCTTTTTGAAAGTAAAATTATATGCTCTGTGTTATAGTCTTCAGAATTGCAACAGATCAATAGAAAATCAATAAAAATAAATCAGATTGGTAGTAGTGTATAATTATTCTAATGTTCACATTTACATATCAACAGAAATATATTAATCACCTGCTTAATCTGTGAAAAAATGAAACCAATAAAAAATCATATTTTTAAAAATCAAATCAATCAAATTCAGAAAAAGAAAATATTTTTGAGTGAGGCCAAAATTGAGGCCAAAAATTTTTACAGAGGCCAAATTTGAGGCCAGGCCAACTTTTGAGGCCAGGCCAAAATTTAGTTTGAAGCCAAATTAGAGGCCAGGCCAACTTAGAGACCAGGCCAGGCCAGAGGGGCCAGGCCAGGTTTTAGAGTATGCCCTCGATTAGTCATGTTTTGTTGAAATTTTATGAAATAAATCGGTGACATAATCTCAGCACCAAGAATTGTACCTGTCATCTGCGTTAAATTTTATTGCTCAGTTCGTATCTTTCTGCTATTGTGCTCTGCATTTTTTCACCTTCAATTATTGTGAATCTAAGGATTATTCAATGTAAGATTTTATAACTGAGATTGAATTATAAAGAAGTAAGGGTTTTCCATCTTATATAACATGAATAATCTTTTGATATCCCATTACATTTTTGTCTGGCTATTTCATTTCTGTAGAAAATTTTTAATACACTTTCATAGTGGGCTGTAGTTTAAAATAGGAACCAAATCATTTATCTTGAGTACCTCGTAATCCCTTCCAAAGTGTATTGAAGTATCGATGAAAATTTGTTTCACAAGATTTTGCAAAATGATTTATTGCTTTATAGGTAACGTTTATGTTCTAAATTATTAAATCTGCCCATAAACGGAATTTAGGGATACTCTACATAACCTTTGACTACTTCCTACTTCTCATAGAAAAATTTATAACCATTTATATGAGGACAGTAAATAGTTGTCACATTGTTATTTTTGAATTTACTAAGTACAGTACAAACAGAAGTTATCACATCATGTTAAATTCTGTAATTATTATGTTAATTGTAAAATTCAATATTCATTTTGTTTAGTGTGTATTCATCAATATTGTCACTTTTTACATCTTCTACAGAGAATTTGAAATTAATATATCAGGCAAAGAAACTCTTCCTCAAGAAAAAAAAGGTCGTGTATGAATTCGGCAAACTATGCTTATAAAAATCCTGTCTATATTTTTTTTGCAAAAACGATTGAGTATTGATTATAAAGAGACAAATTCAAGGAAGCATGATACTGATCGGTAGAATTTTAATTCGGAAGACGTAATCACTCTCATAACCTTTTTAAAATTGCATCAAGTTTTTGAAAAAAAAAATCTGCATTTAATCATACGTTTGACTGCACCTTATTTTTATTTCAGCTGTATACAATTACATTTATAAACATCGCCTCTTCCAGGCAGGTGCTCGGTTGAAGTCATTTCAACATGGAGATGTATAACGCAGAAAGCTACAGAAATCGAGACATCCTAGAAGTTGTCATCCAACAAAAAGAAGAGAAGAAAATTAAAGACAATGAAGAGAAACAAAAGGAACAAGTTTTGCACATGCGCAGAACACCGGAAATAGTCAGCAGACCATCTAGTCGAATGTCTTCCAAACAAACTTCCGTGCAGACGGAACAAAAACCAAAAGAAAGTAACGTTGTAAAAAGATCAGAATACATCGCTCAAAACAATGTTTCACAAACTATTCAGAGCCTGGCGATTCTGTGTTTAGCTTCCTCTGTTGTTCTAATTTTGGATATTTATGTATTTATTGTGGGGACCGGTGATCCTCCCGAGGGAGGATTCAGAAACGGAAGTTTGCTGACGTCACTGAAGCAGTATGAGGATGTGACGGAAGTATTCACCGCTTTTTCAACTCTTGTGATGATTTTGTCAGCGAACTGTGTGCTAGTGTGTTCTATGCAATGTTTTATAGCTTCTAAAGTCATCAAGACTGTCGACGGTCCAGAAAGGTAAGTGTGCTACATTTTTCACTATACGTGTTCGGAAAGATTTCGAGCAACCATATTTTTAAAATATGTATTGACTATATTCCAGGGCTATGAAATACTTCCGTGAATGTTCAAGTAGCAGACTGGTAGCAGTAGTTGGATTTTTCATATCATTTCCAGTTTTTCTGTTAAGTATGTAAAAATAATTATCATAACTTTTAGGCTGTCTTTCAATTAACAAAGGTAAAACGTATTTAAAATTCAGATAAGGTTTCCCTTCGTATTTTAGTCATTTAACTTTATGAATATTGAAAGAGCCTATAAATTTATGATACCGTAAAGAGTTCTTATTTAGCCTTTTTTATTTAAAAAATAAAATCAAGTGTTAAGTAATACTCTCAAACAAATCTACAACATTGTACTGATACACGTTCAATAAATGGCGAGTTAGAAGTATTGGTCAATGTTTCTTTTATCCGAAGCATTGTATACGTTTATGTGCTACTTTTAACACCCATGTATCACTTTTTTTCAGCGTTAATGTTGTGTGTAGTGTTACGTTTAAGAAGGACGTCAGCGTTAACTGCTGTAGTGGTACTCATCATTGGAACCATGTTAGGTTTACTGTGTATGGTACAGAACATCTATCACTGGTACGACGAGATGTCCAGTGCTTCTAAGGGACTTCCGGCGTATAAAGATAGTAACAAAGACGATGACACAACCCGAGATCTCAATACTCTAGTGTAGCTAGGTCTATTTTTAGATTACTTTGGAAATACGATACCTGGAATTCGATGGGGACGAGAAATCCAAGGATTCGGCATATTGAGGATATAATTCATAAAGCGGTTGCAATGGGGACTTCCAGCTTTATTCGATATATCCATAGTTTCGAGATATCGATTTTTAAGACACCAAGGTTCAACTGTATTGTGAGGATTAAGTCTGAAACAGGTCGAGTGATTAACAACTTGAAGGTGTTTCTGGTTTCGATCACCGGAAAATTGGAAATTGGTTTTGGTTTTTTGAAAGGATATATGTTGAAAAATCAAGTGATTGTTGTCGGAGATGCAAAAATTCAGCCTACAGTTGAACATTTTAGGAGGTTATTCACATGTATTCCATTTTATATCCGGTGCCATGCATGTTCTGTACATTGCTTCCCAATGTGATTTTTATATAAATCCATTTTGAGAGAGTGAAAATAATTTAAGGATGACAATATATACAAGAAAAATAGATGCATGTAGTGAAATAAGAAATTTTGTTTTTATGCTCCCGTAATCGAAGATTTGAGGTGTAGAGTTTTTTGTCTTGTCCGTCTGTCTGTATGTAAGTTTAATTGTTTGTACGCAAAAAGTGCCAGGTCTTTCAAACTTCACAAATATATTGTTAGAAAACCCTTCCATGGATATACATGTATAAATATTTTTGATCTTTTTATCTTGATTTTAGAGTTTGACCTACTAGTATTTAAACACCTTCATTCTTTGATATGACTTTAGAACAGATAGTACTAAGGCCTTCATATTTCACAGATTACGTATTCCACGTGACAAGGCCTAACTTTTGATAACAGATATCAGCAATATCGACCTTTTGACCTCGACCTTGGAGTTTTGCCGTTTTTTGAAAAAAAGTGTAACCTTGGCCATACCTTTTGAACAGTTGATGCTAGGGCTTTAATATTTCACGTGTTTTATTTCTCATAAAAAACCTTTCCCTGTGTACCTTTAATTTGACCCTTTCACCTTGGACTTTGACCCACATTTTGAAATCTTTTAACTTGGTCACAACTTACTAATGGCTAGTGCTTTGGCTTTCATATTTCACAGAAATATTCATTGATACAAACTTTTTTTGGTTACAACATATTTCATCCATTGACCTTTGAGTTTGACTTCCATTTGAAAAACTTCAACTTTCGCAGTCAGCTGCCGTACAAGGGCATCTGTGTTTCACAAACACATCTTGTTTCATGTTATTTATAAGTTGCAGTTTATTTGTATTGTATTTTAAAAAAAAGTTTAATGTGATAATGAATAGCTTTGCATTGCGTATTAGCTTACCTAAGTCTTGCATCCTATACTTATTTTGATTTTTTAAAATAATATTTTAAGTGTACTAGATTCGAATTCCTATAAATCATGTCGGACAAAAATTTGAATTTTTAGCCGGGCTTATTGCTCAAAGAGCAATTGCCGGTTTATGTGATCCTGTTCAAGGCAGGATGTTGACCCCATAGTCGCCATTTTAAAGTTACGTGCAAAAATATAGTTCTTACTCTCAACCGCTTTTGAGATAATACAAACGCTAAAGAAAGCAACAAAAATAAAACGAAGTTTTATCTATATAAAATAAACATTTGTAGTAATGACTTTGAAAACTTCATAAGTCAAAGAACATAGTTCATTAGCGTAAGGATTTTTGATAATCAGTGTTACCGTAGTTCTTTACACATACGAGGTAAAGCAGGAGAGGGAACCAGACTGGCCTGTTTGTTTACATTCAGCTGCGGTACCAGATAAATTCTGATTCTGACAAAATCGGACCGTGGTATTAGGATTGAAAAAACTCACTGTCAGTGTCTTATCATTTATATTGATAATTTTAAAATAATTTTTTCATCAGAATATAAACGTGATTCATGTAAGAAATCCATTCTACTCTGTAAATGAGCCCGGCTCTCTGTACTTCTGAGTACTTTGATATTATAACTTAAAGCCATGACTTATTTCCTCTCCAAGAAGAGTCTCAAGAAAAGGAAAAAAATATTTTTGGGGCTTCATTGAGGCACAGGAAATAATTTCCATAACAAAGTTTTAATATTATGTTCTCTACGTCCCTTTTTTGTCTCTAGTGTTGCTTTAGAGGAGAACTACATGTTCAAAGTAAAAGGCCTTAACATTTGTGTTAATCTTCGTTCAAAATGACCTTGCACGACCTATGCGTTTGTTTCTGAGAACTAAATCAATGAACATGTACTTAATTAGTGCAATCTAGTCAAAGAATCTCTTTACAATTCAAGGAAAAAGAACAGCAATTTTTTTTTAATTAATACTATACTTAAACAGTTTAACATCGGAGAAAAAACTTTTGTGTGACTTTGATTAGAGCAAGATTGCCTTATGTACCTATGTCTAATGTTTCGGGAAGTTGAAAGTCATTCTCCTGACTGAATTTCTAAAAGTTTTTATAGAACTAACTTTAGTCCCTGATGGAAACATTAAACCCGTGTAAAACCCCTCGTGCTGGTATTATAATGCAATCATATGTCAAACTGACACATGTCGAATCATATTCCAAATTTATTGTTATATTCAACTTTAATCTGACAAGCTTGCTATTTTAAAATAGCCACTTCCTGCCCAAACAAATCAGTGAGCAGTTCAGCTATTTCATAATTAAAGTATAAATTATTTCTCACAAAGAAAAACAAAACATACAAATCAAGTCGGCAAAATATGCAGCGAAAAATAAAAAAAAAAGAAAAATAAATTAATGAATAAAAATAACATATTTTTGAAGTTAAAAAAATATTCAGGATTTTGAGTAGAATGAAAAATTATTCAGGGGCTTGTACTTGTATCACTTCTCAATAATCAAGCCGATACACGACCGATACAATGTATGCACCCGTTCTAATAGGCGTATTTTTTTACCTTTAAATACAGGTATCAATTTATAGGATCTGCTGAGTAAACATTACAAGTATTTATACATTGTCTTCCGATGTTTACATGCACTCTTTTATAGTGTTTAACACGAGTAAAGAAATTCCCTACCGAGTCATCCTTGCTCTTAAATTTTCAGATTTAAAATTTTAATTTTTGGTTCTGTGATAAGCGTCATGGAAAAAGAAACATCTTATGCAATCTTAACTAAAAATGAGTACATATGACAGTTAAACTGCTAATAAATAACTTTGATCCAAGGAAGTACTAATCAATCGTCTGGCTTTATTGCCTTCTTCTGTAAATTGTGACTTCGTACTAACATCAGTACAACAAGAGTACAGGAGAAGATTACCGCGACCAAAGACCCAAATACAATGCCAATCACAAGTCTAACATCCATACACCTGTCTGAATCTGAAACATGAAAAATAGTTTTTCGTCTATATTTGAAATCTAAAGCTGCTTACATTCTATAATCTATACAGTTATCTTTTTCTCTCTTACTTGCAGTTTTGCAAATAGAGATAAAATCAAACGTATTTCTGAACTTTGGCGACCTTTACCTTTTGTGACCTTTGCATGGTTCGAGGTTGCTGTCTGAGTTGAGCTCAGTTCCGTTGTCTGTTCCCTAGTAGTCGTTGTCTCCGTCACATTCGATTTGTATTGAATAAGAAAACCATGGCGTCCTACAGTATTGTCACTATAGAACGATATCACGACAGATGACCCTGAAGACGTAAAGGTGAAGGGCGCGACCTTTGGGTACTGGGAGCACACAGTTCTTACAGCATTATTATCACAGCGGTCATTTCCTTCAAAGCAGAATTTGCCTTTGGTAAGGTAGTAAGCTTTTGTTTATGTACTGATAATATTAATATGTGCTACTCACCATCATTAATGTAGTATTTATCATAGTTACACTGAGTTGGAAGATCGTCTTCTATGTCTGAAAACATGACGTCAAGATCAACATTTCCGGTGGCGCTCGTAATCACCCAGCGACAACTTTTACCACTGTTAAAAAAGAATAAAATATTTTGTGAAGAATTTTAGTGTATATATTCACAGGTCCGGGGGTTATCTACATCATAATTAATTATATTGAAAAAGACAGTCTCACTTGTTATATAGGCCAGGGAAATTCGGGCTAGAAAGGAATTGTATGTTATCTCCTGCAGACAAGGACTGCGTCGATGTACATCCGGTTCCGGCTGAAACGAAGGGAATATATAACACTTGGTTTTGTTTCACTTACTAGCACCTTTTTGTGGTAGTGTCAGATACACGGCTTCCTACTAGTTTGGGCTGGTGGGTTAACCCTTTGGCTCGATTGATAGAGCACCAGACTGGCACAGGCACTGGGTTTAATCCAAAGCAGAGACAGCTACATGTACATGTCTCTACCTTTTGACCCCCTCCAGAGAATGAGAAGTCTTCATCTTTTTAGAGTGCCGACGATTATAGGGCGAAGTTCTGGGGACAATCAACCTTTTCCTGCCAGAGAACACCCGGATACCAACGTGGGCGCCAAAATGTAACATAGACATGTAACTGCCTATGCTGGGGATTGATCCCAGGGCTTCTGGATTGCCAGTCCTGTACGTCATTGAAAAGCTAAAGGGTTAACCCACCGGTCCATGCTAGTAGAAAACCGTTTACTAGTGTTTGACACTACCACATAATCAATTACATGTACCCTTAGCAATTCAATCAGTTGAAATAAAATAAATTCAGTAATTAACAAGAAAGTTTTGCCTTCCTAGCAATGATTCCTTGAATTCCATTGATTATAGTCATGATTTAAAAATCATTTAAAGATATACCAGTAATTGTAAACATACAGTAATCTTTCGCAGCAACAAAATCCATCTTGAACCCAGCCCTCTGCACGCTTGCGTCGGTTACCAATCGAAGATATGCGAATCGCTGAGTCGTCGAATAGTGTGAAGGCGTGGCCGGTGTCCCACACTTGTTATTTGCAAGGGCAGTGGCTGCTGCTGAATTTCCTTTTAAAATTAAAGGCTTTTATTATTCACAAATTAAAGATTTTTAATGCTTTTTATACAAAAACAATACCAAACAACCATCAAACAGACAAAACAAAAAAAATGATGTGTTTATGGAACACTGATGCCCCCATGGAAGAATAAATTATATGGCGACGGTTGGCGTTCCTCAAATGGAAGTCATATCCAAAGGTCAAGAGATAAAAATATGTCGTCACCCTAAGAAAGGAAGTGTCTCAGTGAATACCCGGTATATACGTATTTGGAATATGAAATCCAAGCACTTACTGTTCAAAAGTTAGGACCAAAGTTAATTCTTTTTCTTTAAAAGTTAGTCAAACTCCAATGTCAATGTCAACATTATTAGAACAAATGTACAGGTATAGGTCTTGTCACAAGATAGAAACTTTTGAAATATAAAAACCCTAGCATAAACTCTTCAAAAGTTAATATTATAGCAAATGTTGATGTAGGTCAAAATATAAGGTCAAACAAAAAATATTAGATTTTTAGCAGGTATGTATTTGTTATGTTAATTAATTTTTGTACTTATCGATATATTACTTAATTTATTCGATTTCAAAATACAGAATGACATAAAAAAGCAAACAGAATTTTTTTCAGATAACAAAAAATGTAGAGTAGGTAAAGTCAAGTACCCATCAAGTTTCTTTGAAATGCTATACTGGTACTTAAACAGAAGACAAACAAATTATGTGCACGTCGAAATGTACAGAGATATAAGACTCAACGATCAAGTAAAGAACCAGTTCGTATGTACAAAATAATGTGTGGGCTCAGTATAAACAGGTATTTCAAATACTTTTATCATAAAAAGTAGAAGACATTAATATTTTTTTTCCCTAAAACTAAACACTCCTTTTGATTCTAGATTCGAATATAAATAATTTGACATTCTAACGCTTTTTTCAATTTTTACAATAGATTTGACAAGATACCTACCATCGTAAATATAAACTTTATCGCCGGGACACGCAGTATCCAGGGTCAGAAATAACAAAAGGCGAAGGTCATCCGCTCCCGAGTCAATCCGCCACCAACAATCCATGTTACTATAAATAATTTTAAAAAAACACTCTTCTAAGTCCTATATTTTAGTTTGTTCCTATAAATAGCAATTGACTATCATACATTTTTTGGGGGAAATGACTCTTTTGTAGCCTATTTTAGCGGGTATTCTGACGATTTTTCCTTCTCAAATTGAATCCACCTACTTAATATAGGATCCGCTCCCTCCGTTGAATCCGACGGATGTGAAGGATCTCCAGCTGGTATCGGCAGAAATTTCCTGTGTCGTGACGTCACAGAGGGAGGAGACAGAAGCTATAGGACATATAAAAAAAACGATGTTACATTTTATTTGTGTTGAACAAATGATTTCATATGAACTGAAAGTTATATTTTACCAGTATCACATTGACACAAATTAGTACAAATGTATTGAATGCATATGCTGATCTCTGCATTTCCAAAAGTACATCATCGAATCAAAGTTGACAAGTTTCACTCCTTTTACTTGTTTTATGTACCTAGAAATATGTTTTACATGTTTTTAACAATACTTAAATAACTTATTTTTATACCCCCACTTGAAAAGTGGGAGGATATATAGTGAACGGGATGTCCGTCCGTCTAGATGTTCGTCTGTCAGTTATGTCTGAACATTACGCTTTGGGGTACTCATCTCTTATCCCCAGTTCTTTTACGTTTTGATCGAACGCATATTTTTAGTTTCCCATAGCAAAACATGGACACTACCATTCTTTGTGTAATATTGAAGGGTGCTATGTAGCAACCGCTAATGATATAACGCCGCACAAATATCATTAATCTTTGCAACTGTATTGCATTAATGGTTGACCTTTTCAACAGCTAATACTAAATCGTCGCTTAATGAAAGAATTATATCATTAAGCAGATGAGCATGTCAACTAATTAATGCAATGATTTATGACATTAAGCGTTGCATTGCAACGCTTAATGATATTTGTATCATTAAAGTATCAGTCACATTATCCAGCGATGGGGTAAACGATGAGAAACCGATGCGTTTTTTGATAAAAATAGCGTGGTTGCCGGCCGGACATCTATAGTAATCGGACGGTGACTGAGGCCATTTGGCGAGTCGGTGGGGGTCGACTGTAGAAAATAAGTTGTAGTTAAAAATCAGCGATGTCTTTACCGATGCCTTACATCGCTCCTCATCGGCAACCCATCATTAACACATCTTCCAAGGAATGGTCGGTGTATGGCCGAGCATCGTCAAGTGTCCGTTAAATCTGAGGTCATCGGGGGGTTGAGTGGTGGGTAACAGACATCGGCCGATCATCGGTCGATGTTCGACCAAACATTTGCCCATAGTCGACTGACGTACGAACGATGTTCACCAATGTATGAGCGATGTAATACACATCTGCCGATTACCTTAGAACATCGTTTTATGATCAGCAATGCATCGCTGGGCCTTTGTATGTCCGGCCGGAAACCACGCCGTTTTTTTTGTTTTTTTTTTTTAATCAAAAACGCATTATTTGACCATCATTTACCCCATCAATGGATAATGTGGCTGATACTTTAAGGACTACTAGGCCGATGTGAACCGATGTTGGGGCATCGCTCACACCACAGATTACCACCGGTTTACGGCCACCGGCCGGGAAATGTGACTTATGCCTAGGTCACATTTAAGCCGATGGTCGGGCGATTAAATTTTCTGGTCTTGTCGGCTGAAAGAACATGATCGGCCGAAACAAGTATCGGGCGACACGGAGCAGTGTTAATTCCTAGAACACCGATGACTTGGATAAATAACACAAAAAATCACTTTTCTTTAGAAATCAGCAATATTTTTTCATAGATCTATATTCAAATAGGTGACGTGAGTCATGTTTGCAAGGCAAAGTGGCAGAATGTTATAAGATTGCGACTCAATGTTAAAATGTGTGCAAAATTTTGTATAGAATTGCATAAAAACATATCTATGCAGCAAATAATACTTAAGATTTCTTTATATCTCACGGATTAATTATTTATGTAATTTCCGTTCAAAAAATATATATCAATCCATGCATCAAAATTTTGTTTGTGTTATGCATCCTTAATAGGTAAAATATTCACAAGTCGACCAACCGTCGCCTGATCATCCAGCTCTGAGCTACAGTTTGATTTTAACTGTCAGCCGAAATTTTAAACGCCCTTATTGTCCCAACGACGGACGACCAACTTAATAAACTGACTGTCGATAGTCGGACGATGATCGAAGGTTCGTCGACAGATAACTTCAAGTGAAGAAATCGGCCACCGATGCAAAAAAAAATTATAACTTGGACCGATGGACAAAAAATTGGTCGGCCGACAAAAAAAGTGGTCAAAATCGGGCAAGACAACGGCCGATGCCGACTGTCACCCGAAGAATCCCATTTTTCAAAACCCGTCGGCCGTTGCTCGTTTTTGGAAATGTGACTGGGGTTTTAGGCATCATTAGCGGTTGCTACAGTGCCCATCTCTTATCCGCAACTCCTCCTATACCACTGAATAAAATTTAATGATACTTTCACCGATTCTTTATTACATAATGCCATTGAGTGCCTCATTTTATTTTTTATCTGATACATATTTCGGGTATCCCAGAGCAAAACATGAACTTTGCCATTATATTCATATGGGAGGCAGGGGTATCATTTAGTGAGCACAGTACTCACAGTACCTCTAATTTTAATTTTTATCATCGCATTCAGTCAGATATAGATACATGTAACACGAAAAACTGAGTGTCTGTTATTTACGAAGTTGTGACAAATATATACAAACTCACCGATTATTGTAAGAATTTTCCCACAAATCCATAGCACCTTTTTTTGAAACTCCTGAAATTGAAATATTTTCATGAAAGGAAACTATTCATATAGTTTAATACTTTTTTTATTTACAGACACAAACAAGTTACATGTCTATTACATCATATATTACATTTAATTCCGAATTTTGGTTTCAAAAAAGAGTACAAGTATGCTTACAATTCTATGACTGTAGAATTCTAACATTTTGTAAGGGTTGATCCCTCGGGCTCCCTTTTCTCCGTCTGAAAATGACGACTTGGATCAAGTATTTTTATTAGAAATGTAGCCTTGGTCATTTCATTCTCTTTCAAAACTGTTAGTATGTAATATCAAGTAATTTATATATCTTCTATAATTAAATAAGAAAGTTATGGTCATATGCGCCATATTTCGGTCAGTAACCTTTCCACACAGGGATTTTTTGAATTCCGTTTCACCTTTTACGATTGAAACAGAAATTGTTTCATTATATGATGAAGAAAAGCTTGAAAGAGAACTTTATATTTGAAAGAATGGAAAACTACACTGCAAAATACCCAAGTTTACAGAGAAAGTTTTTAAAGAAACGTAATTAAATATCCATCAAGAATTTTATTGAAAATCACACCCTTCCATTGGTAATTAATGGAAGTTAAAAGGGGCAATTGCAGTTTTACAAATGCTGACATACCAAAAGAAAAAAGTACAGTTATTTTATTAATACAATTTTTTTTTAATAAATCCAGCATTGTCCTTACCTGTTTATTCTCAAACCCCGAGGGAGGAGGTGAAATCTGTAATTCTGTTCTCATCCTACTTTGCAGTATTTTAAAAGCGTGGGTACATACCCTTGTACATTTACCCCCCTGTCAAACTCATTGACAGAGTGACTTTTAAATTCTGAATTGTTCTATCAACAAAAAATATCTAGAAGGACAGAAGGACGTATCGGAATACATCACTTCAGAAACATCAAACAAAATAGATCTGTTTTGTGTATTAGGGCATTCAGACATTTGACAACCCTCTGATAGTAAATCCTGAATGAAATGTTCCTCTCGGGGCAGGAGCAAATTAGTTTTGATGGACAAGGGCGTGACTTGTTGCAATTTGTGTCTTCTCCAGTCTGTACTTAGGATGGTATCACTGGTCAACATCTCAACAATGACTTCTGAAACAATTAATGTACTTTAAGCAGAGGCGTTTTTGAGGTACAATGTACAGTAGAAATGAATCAATAAGACACATAATAGATAAAAACTAAAAATTGCGCCATGTTCCAAAAATAGACTCAATTTCTTAATACATCCTCTTGCAAATGACTATTTAGTAATTTTAGTTCCCTTCTAAACATTTGCTAAATATTCATTTTTCTCCTCTTTGTAGTAGACGGGTTGATCCTGATCAAATACATGTAAACCACTTTCTAATCGATGAAATTTAACTTCAGTTTTGTGCCTTAGGCCTCCTTCATGTGCAAAGAAATGTTATTAAAACCAACGTGCCGTGGCGATTTCCTTGTCAATGTGAGAATGTGTACTATATTGCAGATTAATTATCTCCTTCCCATTGGCTGGGTATGAAGGGCTAAAAATGTTCACAGCATTGTTGCTTCTTTATTGAATCTTAAAATATCTTATTATCCCCTAAAAAAATACTATAGTAAACTCACACATCATATGATAGATTTTCCACTTTTCCTAAACATAAACTTTAGTTTAAAGAGAGCGCTAGCTATATATAACATTCTAACACTTCCGAAATTGGTACCTTTGATAATTTTCAAAGAAAGGAATTTCTCTAAACACACCGTTCAAATAAATTGGTCTGAAATGCGTTTGCGATATGTAAGTCATTACACTAAAACAAAAGTTATAAAAAGTACCAATTTAAATTATAATCTTTTTCTTGCGTTTTTGATATTTGTATATCTGACAGGAAGTTGTACGGAGACCCGGAAGTGTAAAACAGAGGTCATAAAGTCAGTGTCACAATGGTTAGAACGTCTGTTCTAGAGTCGCAAAATGAGGAGCTGGCCTGGGGGTCATAAAACACAGACGAGCTCACTTTTGTTCTCAGTCTCACTTTTCGACTGTTATAATATATTCCTTTGGAAAAAGTGAGACTGAGATCAAAAGTGAGCTTGTCTAAGTTTTAGGACCCCCATGCCTGATCCCTACGTTCCGGATTCGAATCCCACAGCTAAATGTGGAGACCGGTCCTCTGGGCAAGACCGCCCAGTGTCGCAGTAGGTGTTGACCCGAAAAAAGATCTCTCTCTGATCAATGGCCGTGAGTGCCGAGTATGTTTAATTTGCAGCTCTACGCCAGCAATTGGTGGCGTCTCGATATCATATGAGCATTTAGTTATTACTGTTTTTCACTAATTACAATGTATATATGTAATACAATCCCTTTTCAATATTAAACAAAAAAAGTTACAGAAATTTTTTTTACAACGTTCCAAGTTCTGTGTTTGTTCTGAAATTGGACACCAGTGTAAACTATTTATTGACTTTACAGGTATTTTATTGACATGTCTTTGCATATCCTGTTACAACGTATTTGAAAACTCCCATAGAAAGTATTTATGTATTGTTTGGTGCATGAGATGTAAGATAAGAGCTTTGTACATTTTTACAAGTGAGTAATTGAATGTTACATCTTAATTACTGTTAAGTAGAACAAAAACCACGTGATACTTATCCTGTGCATATTGAATGTATTTGGATTAAATAGGTTTATTTACATTGTTTACATTGTTTGATATATGTTTACATTGTTTGATAATCTAGGTGGACATGACCTATACAAACAATTGGAGACCTTAGCTAAAACTTCTAACATAGTTCATGGAATTGTGCTACTAGTTTTTTTCCGGCTGCATGATACATATGCACTTGCATGAAAAGGTAAAACACTGAGGACCAATGGAGGACATTCTCAAAAATCCAAAGAATTATAAAATCAACGAGGGATTCCGTTATGTCGAAGATAATCTATATTGTGAGGAAATCCGTGTTTGTGATTTATTAGATTCTGAAGTCTCCGGACAAACCATTACATCACCAGTTTATGTCTACAGCAAACGACAGATCGAAACCAACATCAACAATTACAAAACAGCAATACAGAAATCGGGACGCAACATGCAGCTTAATTACGCCGTGAAAGCCAACATGAACCCCTCTATTCTAAAGCTGATGAAGAAACACGGTGTGTCTTTAACACTAGTGAGTGGTTCCGAGCTCCGCCTAGCGTTAACACTTGGATTCGAACCGGGAACTCTTGTATTGAACGGTAACGGGAAGCTTGATTGGGAGGTGGATCTTGCGTGTAAATGTGGCGTCCTTATTAATGTGGACAGTCTGTTTAATCTGAGGCAGATCATACGAGTGTGTCAGGCGGGGGGATATGTGGCCCATGTGTTATTCCGAATTAATCCAGATATTGACCCGGTATAGTATTGTTTTTTCTTTACATTCCAGACTGTAATATTAATGCAACAAAATGTACGAAATAGTCAGATGCAAGAAAAATTTTAAATGGTTTCAAAGAGCATTAGACATTGTCTTGCATAAAATAGTTGATTCTAGAGAAAAAACACAAAAAATTGAAGGCAAGATATTCTAATAATTCATTGATACTCATTTTAAATAAATCAACTGTTTAATAAATCTATTTCAAATATCTAATTATAGGACGTTCATTCATATTTATCAACGGGACAAAGTGGCTGCAAATTCGGAATAACGAATGAAGAGCTAGACAGCGTGATACAGATGGCGTGGGAATCAGAGAGAATTCGAGTTCTTGGGCTTCACTGTCACATTGGCTCTACCGTTCACGATGTCGAAAACTTCAGGTACATATAGACGTGTGGGTGGCTTTGACGGGTTTTCATACATTTACACGATTTGGTGATCATAATTGACTTTCATGTTTTCAGAAAAAGCACTCGTATACTTGTGGATTTGTTTGAAAAATTAAGAAACCGGTTTCGTGATATGAAGATTTTGAATTTAGGCGGAGGATTAGCTGTTCCGTATAAAGAACAGGTAAGATATGCTTTATAATTACTGACAACATACCGGAATCAAGTGTTTATATTAGTTGAAAGGCTAGTTTGCGCCGCCTCCATATTATAAGGTCGGGCATTCTGGGAGTCATATGCAGTCAGTCCCAAATGCGCAATTTTGTATGCTTCTCAAAAGAGTTTTAGATTAATGTGTTATTTGCAATGTTGATGTAAATTTTGATGCAAATTACCTTTCTAGGCAAATACGTTATACTTTTACTTCATTTAGATTTTGGTACCAGAAAAGATTAAGCATGAGCTCCATGTTGAATTTGACAGTTGTGAGGATCCAAATAAATTGAAATTATATGAAGATCTTATCAACAACAGGTATGCTTTACTCTCTATATAATTTTTTTTTTCATTCAAGGATGGGAAATATTCAACCTTAACTACTAGTATATTTCTCATTTGCAGAGTTACTCTTCCCACATTTCTCAGTACGCTTCAAACATATCCCGGAGGCGAGACGACAGTATCAAAATTACGACAGCAACTGCACAAAGAAGTGAAAATTTTTTATATACATGCATAACAGCCATCCATGTAAACATTTTTGTCCATGTGACACTATTTTCCATTCAATGTTAATTTTATAACAAAAATTTCCTGTTTACGTTGCAGATGCTTGCACCAAAACCAGATGATCTGGTTAATTCTGTCTGTGATATTTTGCCAACTGATACCATTGCTATTCTAGAACCCGGTCGTTCAATGGGTGTCAATTCCCCCATTCTTTTGTCACGTGTTCTAGGAACAAAAATATCAACACAGAAAAAGTAAGACTTTAATATATATAGTTGCATACTAAATTCACATGATGGAATAAATACATGAATCACAAAAGCCAAAAATCCAAATTTTTTTTATTACTCTACTATTGTGTTACAGTTACATCGTAATCGATGGATCAATGACAGAGGTAATTCGGCCGTGTTTATATGACGCTTACCATCACATTGAATTAGCAGAACCCAGCCAAGTGAAAGCTTGTAACCAGTCAGTGTTAGATTGGGACATTGTTGGTCCAGTGTGTGAAAGCGCCGATTTCCTTGGAAAGGTTTGACTCAATCATATCACTTACGAGCTATCTTGGAATTTGTTTGGTTCAATTAATTATTTGGTCATTTATTATTACAAGAATAAACGCTTGAGGGTTTGATTTTTGAAAGAAATTCGGAAATTTATGCAAAGAATAAAATAGTGTTATGAATATTCTTGGAAACATTTGAAATGAAATAAATACCAGTACTTAACACAGCTGTATAAAAATCTTGATTTCATTTTTCCTTTTCTGAAAACAAAATTTGAATTTTACTGAAAGCTTATTTCTGAATTTCTGTTGTTATTACTTTGATATATAGGGTCGTAAGATGGTAACGCCACATGAAGGTTGTGGCATCGCAGTTTTTGACACCGGAGCATACTGTAGCAGCATGTCCTCAAATTACAATATGCGGGTAAGTAAAATTAATATTCTCTGACATTTACTTTTTAAAAAATAATGAATATTTCTTAGATTCTAAACTATTTTTTGTTTCTGGTTTTAGGTTCGACCAGCAGAACTACTTGTAGATGGGGATAAAGTTGAAATCATTCGAAAATGTGAAACTTTTGAAAATATGATGAACTGTTATAATGTGTAGAACTAGTCTAAATTGTAATGTACATATTTACTGCTTTTTGTGAAGAATAAAATGCACGGGCAAAAACTGTGTTAGTTTAATCTTAAATTCGTTTAAGAGTTGTTGTCCTTGACGTTACTATTCCTTTAAACTATGCCTAGTGCTACCTAAGAACAATAATTCAAAACATGCAACCAACTGCATCATTGGTCAAATCACGATTTGTTTAAACACTTTCCACGGCTACGAGTAATAATTAACCACTGAACTTTGAAGAAGAAAATTAAAGCAATGAAGAACAGATAATAATATCTTGTAAAATATGGCTTAATTAAAACTGGAGATGGGCAGTAATTCCTCGACACAAGCATCCTCGACATCGAATGTCAAAAAGCCTGGAGTCCAACGGGAGCCAGACGAAGAAGACGTAAGTATACAGCTGAATTGTCTTTTTTTCTGTCAAACTAGTGCACGTAAACCGAACTTCATGTACTAAAGAATCAGTATAAAAAACTTGCACATGCCACAAAGAATTCTAGTAGTTTTTGGAGCAGAAAAAATTAATATTTCCTGAAAACAGGTCCCATGGAACACGTAAGATATGTTTAGCATAAACTTAGCATAATACATATGTATTTTATATTTTAGTTTGTTTCCTAAGTTGATCTACATGTAGCTATATTTAATCTTTTAATTACCTTCCTAATCATAGGTAGACGTCCCAGAGTTTCCCCCGGACGAGGACTACCCCCCACCCAAACAGAATTCTCTGAAGAAAGACGATATTTACGAACACTGGAAGTATAAAGATGTACACCAGCATGTCAGGAAGGTGTGAAAAAAATCTATATTATTTATGTCGACTTATGAAAATTTTCAGATCAGCGTGGGATATAAGCAGCTAGGGGGAAAGTAGAACCAGCGAAATAGTACTGACAAAAATTACTTATATGAACTGACCATTTTTGTACGACGCTGTTTATTTCAGCGGCGGATTCAGATTCTCGAAGGATTAGTTATAATACTTGCAGTTAATAAATATATGAATTTAATGGAATCAATTTTACAAAGAATCTATATTTTGGGGTTGGATATCCTTGCCTCTGTCAAAGCCACAGCGTTTGATAGCACAATAACCAATTTAGACCTACTATCTTTCTACTGTACATTTTTTGTCCAAAGTAACTGAATTAATACCATCACGCATCACATTCTCATCGCCTTTCATCTTCATTTTCAGTTTCACTGTAATAAATTATACGTTAAAATTGATTTCATTCTTTTCCAGATTCCTGGTAAGATCGACTTATCTTTCCAGCAGCTTCTCGACTACCTCGTGGTGCCGTTCAGGACTGACATGCAGAAGGTGCGCGCGCTGTTCATGTGGCTATGCGTTCAGCCAATAACAACAACCAAATACAAAAATCTGGAAGGATATCCACCCGAAGATCTTGCGAGAACACCCAGAGGATTCATGAAACTCATAAAGGAGGGGAGAGCTTCGTATGCCTCGCTCTTTGCAGTGCTCTGCAGGTAAAAGTAATGAAAACATAAGGAAACAAATTCTTCTGTAAAATAAAAACTATTAAGAACAACATTTGTGTGCAACATTTATCTTTAATGTTCTTGAGGAATGTATTATTCCTTTGTAGAAAATCGGGAATAAAATGTGCGATAATAAAGGGAGTCTGCAAAAGTGCCGGATACGAAGTAGGGACTACGGATACACTGAAAGACCTCAGGTCCAAATGGAACGTTGTTTGGGTCAAGGACAGCTGGAGATTGATCCATCCTTTGTGGGCGTGTCAAACAGTGATTGGCAAGTCAGGACTGGACAAGTGGACGGCCTACGACGACGAAGAGGAAAACACTGAAGGATGGACCATACAGAAAATCAACGAGTTTTTCTTTCTCACCGACCCGCATGACTTCCTCTATTTCTGCTTCCCGGACGACCCAAAATGGCAGCTTTTGACCGTTCCGTACGACCTTAACCGCTTTGTCCGCGTTCCGTTTTTACAGGAGGCATATTTTGGACTGGGTTTGAAGCTGATCACAGAACAAAGCTGTATTTTACACGATATTGACGGGGTTGTTGAAATCGCATTTCGAGTTCCCGATGATTACCCAACACAAATGAACTATGACCTGCTGTTCAAGCGTGACGAGTCTGAGGTTGACCTTGACAACAAGACGCCATTGAACAAATACGTCCTCATGAACTATGAGGATAATATTTGGACTTTTATTGTTAGATTCCCAGTTCCCGGTGTGTACAAACTGTCAATTTTCGGTGGACATGTCGACCGCGAAAATGTTCCATGGATTGCAGATTTTCGCCTTGTTTGTGAAAATCCGCGAGAAAATTGTGTACCTTTCCCCGATGCGCCATGGATCGGTCTTGGTTATTCATACGAAGCCCAGAAGGGTGGACTAATTGATCCTTCTCAAAAATCAGGACTACTGGTCATGAAACCTCATCAAGACGTTCACATCACAATCATGGTAGAAACTGGTATTAATATTAAAGTGAAGTTCTTACACATTCTTCTAAGTGAGAATGAATTAAAGGAAAGGTTCTACTGTAAAAAGAACGTAGGGAGGATCGATATTATGGGAAAAATTCCTCAGCACGGGGACTATCTGATCAAAATCTACGGGAAGACCAAAGGCGTGAGGGGAGAGATGACCAACATCTGCAATTACATGATCTGTACAGAAGACCCCAGGCCCTCAACCAAAAGGAGGAAGGGTTGGGAGGTAAAAACAAATAAATAAATGTACACAGGCTTATTTACGCCCTAACTTCACCTGCAATCGAATTTCAAGGTTTTTAATTCGCCCAAGTACTGTTGATAAAGAGTCGTAAGATAACTTTGCGTCTGTTTAATTCAGCTCATTTTGAATTTGTCGAACGACGATGATAGCGAAAAGGATGACTATAACGAAGACCAAAGGTTTCTTTATTTGCAGGGAAAATGATGAATCCATTACTATTTTATGTTTAATGAATTTTACTTGAATTTATTATTAAGGAGAATGCAACAAGCGCCACACTTAATGAAATATATTACTCCGTCTTTTTTCTGTATTTTTGTTGTAACCGCATTAATGCGTTCTGTATGTTAAAGAATGCTCGAGAGAAGCTGTTGAGGAAGGGTGTCAAAGAGGCCACAGCTGTGAAGGACATTGACTTACTTAAGGTGACCATTGATAAGTTTGTGAATGCTGGATTAGAGGACCGCGGGGACTACACGAAAGCCAGCACCAGGCTGGAGTTTTTGGAGGTGAAACAAAGTAAGTCACCCCTTTGTAACGGAGTTGTAGGAGATATAGTAATGCACTTTTGTGTGATAAGGGGACGGGTTAGGATGTCCTTGTGTTTGCAATGAAAGTGACGTTATTTGCCTCTGAATCGATTTCGATTTACAGTTATGTTTCTTTTGTAAGGGGATTCTTTGCTTTGAGGTGCCCTTGTTTTTTTAACCTTCTATCACGAGTGTACATGTAACTATGTAATTATTCACATGAATATCCTGTTCACGGCTATTCACATTAAAAAATTTTTTTTTTACAATATCATATTAGTTTTACAGCTCGGCTGATATTCATATTGCTCACAGACTGTAAGAAATTGTTGTATATAAGATGGTCAAACGTTGATTTGAAAAAGGGAATCATAATTCTGTATAAACATTATACATGAAATGTAAATTTAAAATATGATTAAAAAAAAAAACAATTATTTACAAAGATCGTATTTTCATTTTAATTAATAGTATCCTTCTTACAACAGCTTTGATAAATGCCATCAACAGAAGAAATGACCCCTGCTTAGTTCGAGCAATCTCGATGGCCCGGGGGTCCGGATACGTGCACCGCCTGACCACACTGGTTAAACAAGCAGAAGATCTACTGGCCGAATTACGCCGTCTGAAGGGGTTTCAGCACCCGATTCCAGACCTTAACAAGCCGATAATTGCAGAGTTGATGAACTATAAAAGCCCACTTCCGATGGTTCATGATGTCATGATTGCAACGTTCTTGTTGTTAGGCGAAAAAGAGGAAGATCTCATGGTTTATTTTTAATTTATTATGATAAAAAGATTACAAACATTTAAATTTTTTTTTTTCATGGGGTTCTCATCCTGAATTACTATCATGATAAAACAGTGATATAGCTTTTCGTTATTGTTGATTTTCAGATTTGGGAATACATTCAAAATCTTATGAGGAAGACAGGCAAAAAGAGCCTGATGAACAGATTTCAAAAGTTTAATCTCGCTGATGTACCAGAAGAGGTGAAAACCAAAGCGGAAAATATATTTATGAGGTTTACTGAAGATGACGTCAGAAAGACTAGCGCAGGCGCAGCGTCTTTCTTTGTATGGGTGAGTGTTCGAATCATTCTTGATAAAATGCGTTTTGTTGTATTCTATGATACTTTTGCAGACTTACATGTACTTAGCAATCCTACAAAGAAATTAAATATTTTAGTAGATGAAATATTTAACATACACAAGTATTTAAATATATTTGAATATCAAAGGCATAATAATCTTATTAAATGGCAATGTCCATTGAGTGTAAGAACCGTGTAACAATACTTTTAGTACTTTGATTTCCTCTGTTCTAGATTCAGAAGGTGATGAAAGAGCCTGATCCACCTCCTGTAACAGAAGTAGCCAAAAACAAAAAGTCCAAGAAATGAAAAAAAAATTGCAATGTTAAAATATTCTGACAAGTACAGTCGGGTCATTTTATGTATTAATTTTTGTTCTTCGATTTCATGATTATTGGTCTTTTTTTCAAACATATCTAGATATTGTACACCCACTTCACAATTCATCTTTCCTCATAATATTACTTTTAATTTTAATGGTAGAGTGTAATAAAAGACATTTTCAGAATATTGATCACTTGAGCAAAGTGAATCATATAAATGAATCTGATTTTGAGAATGTTTTTGTTATTATTTCCCGATATGTATAAACTTCTGAATGTTGATATAACAGTGTACATAAATGTATCGTATACAATTGTATAAATAAACTCATGAGAAGAAAAAAAAATAAAACCAATATTATAATCCTCATTTTAATGACCTTCAAAAAAAATCTTTATACACCTGTCAAACTTTTAAAATCGGATGATCAATAGTTACACCGGATGGTAGAAAATTAGAAATCTATACCTGCAATCGATTTCTCATTTTCAAATCGGGTTTTCATCCTCACTCTAGTAAAGTTTTCCAACATTTCCGTCGTGCTGCACTTCCGGACTGATGTTGGATAACGAGTGTCAGTCCGGTGTGTGACGTCACTTTATTCCCTCTTTTTATAAGGTAAGTCATTTGTTAACAGTTTAGCATGTTCTTTGTCCGTTTCTATTTTTTTGCTGCTCGTAACTTTTAATTAGCGATTGAATGAACAACGTAAAGTTATATTTATGTTTTCTTTTCTTTTCTTCACCCTCCTTAAACCTTATTTTAAATAAGGACGAAATAAAAAAACTCAAAATATTTCAATCTTGTTCAACACATTAACAGGTTTTTTTTTTTTTAAATCACCCTTTTACTAACTAAAGAGAAACTTGCATATATTCATTTAGAATGGACATAGTGTACACTTTAAACAATGGAATTGATGGATTGGCTGAAACACACATCAATCACAATTACCTCAATATAAACATCTATCCACCGCGTTCCCTGCCAAATTTGGGAATTTCCTAATTTGAAATGACTCCATTAGTAGTAAATTTCCATGTACTAACATTTCATCTAGAATAATACACTTCTAGATCTATATAAATGTGGTTTAACTTTAGCTGCTAAGGAAGAAGTACAATAACCGCATATTAATTTTTCTGAAAAAGAGAGATAAATCAAATTTATGTAAATATTAAAGCAATATGAGCTGTATTTTTAAAATTTCATTTTGCTGTTAAAATGTGTTACATGTACATGTATAATGATATATTTATATGTAACTTAAATCTTTATAATCAATTAGACTAAAATTAAGCAGAAGAAAGACTTCTTTATACAATCCAATTTACAGTTTTATATAAGAAATCAATATTGTACAGGACGAAAATAATGTAATTTTGATTCAATCGAAACTTATTCAGTTATTCCTTCGCAAATATGTACAACAAAAGTTTATTTTAGTTAATTTTTTTCTGTGATTGAAATAGTTATTTACAATTTTGCCACAAAAAATAGACATTAAATATGCAGCTCATATTGCTTTAATTTTTTATCAGCTTCCAGAACATTTAGTAGTCATCAATATGTATCAATAAAGCGTTGAATTTTTCAGTTGTACCAAAGATTTGATAGATTTATCATATTCAGCATAGCTATTGAGTGTTGAATAAAATATCTCTTAATCGTGATCAATATTGAATATTTTAAACAACTATTAAGTGAATAAATAATATGTGCATTCTCAAATTTACAATATATTCATCATCTAACAAAGGTACTTGCTACAAAAATATTTTCAAGACCTAGATATATAAAATATATTCTAAAATTATTGTAAAATCAAATATTCTAAAAAATGTTATAAATGGCACGTACAAATTTTTAAATATAATTTCTCGAGAGCCCTTATTTCAGAACTTTGTAGAAATTTGAAATTTGCATCATTTTTGACCAAAATTGAAAAAAAAAACATAAATGAATATTTTCTTTACTGTATCAAGTGTTCTAAAAATACTATTTATTGCTGTACGTGTTCCATTAGCGTTATAGCAGTGTTGCATGTCTTCAAATAACTTCAAAGCCATGCTCGACCCGTCGTAAAGATCTTACCTCTTGATCAAGATATGTATCAGCCAACTCAACACAGTCAATAAAGAAAAATAGTTCAAACCGACCAAAATTGAAGAAAATTGTTAATTGTCTTATCGATTTAATTGAAAAGCTATTTAACACAATTCCTTATGCCGTATAGAAAGAGAACTGTATGTCAATATTACAAATATCGGCTTTCATGAATAAGACCCAAGATTTACATAGGGTCTCAAATGTCAATAAAAAGAACAACAAAATGATAAAACCCCCGTACCAAGTCAATTAAATCCCCCAATCATGATCATTTAAAAACAACAAAAGACATACATAATTGATAAAAGATTATTGTTTTAAAAGAGAAATAAATACATTGGATTAGTGGTACCTGATCTCATTAGTAGAGTGGTAAGCATGGCATTTCTTCCACTGCATTCTTGGTTCTGAGGTATCGGATCTCGACTGATTTGTTCTAATAATTCTTTTTGCATTTGATTGTGTACAATTTTTACTTAAATTGGATATTATTAATTTAAAGTGTAAAAAATTTATGCACTATGGGAGGCGGCGCTAGTAAACCAGCAAAACAAAACACGACTCCGGAGGAATCAAAGCCCCATGGGCCCACGGAAAGTGTGGATGGGTCGTCCCCACGGAGGACGTCTGAACAAGGTCCCCAGTCTCTGGGACCCCCACAAAGAGAGGGGGAGGAGGTGGAGGAAAAGCTCGACATTCCTGACTACATCGACATCCTCCAAGAAAACACAGAGGATGTGGTAAGTTTCGGTAGGAAAATGTAAGGGTGGATCAAAGTACTAGCTATAGCTAGTAGGTGTGTTTTTTTCACAGAGAATGGAAGAGTGTTGATCTTAATATTTCAGTAGCTGATGTATTTTTTTAATCTGATCGAAGGAGAGATACATTAAACATTTCAATATACTTTGTATAATACAGGTAAGGTACCTCGATTTATGATAATTAAGTCATTCTTTAAATATGGAAGATTTAATTTGATAACTTGTTTAATAATTTATAGGTCTGCACATAGGTATTTATAGATAAAAAATTAAACATAATATAAGGTAAGAATGCAATACATAGTCATTAAAATTACAAACATTATACATGTGTGCATGTTAATTAATACATAGATATGTTTATATCTTAGATTATAAGTTATGTTCTGTAAGATTAACCGATTATTTATAAAATACTTGTAATTATATTTTTGTGTATTAAATCAGAATGACATACCTGTTGTACAAGATGGCTATCCTCCTCCAAAACCAGCCTCGAACCGGAAGTCAGACATTTTAAGAGCAGCTGATATTGCCGAGGGAGATAAGAGAGCCAAAAAGGTAATTTATTTTTAAAATATCTTGTGAGAAAGATTTTTTGGTTATTACTGTTTTCATAGATAATGCTTTTGAAGTATTCAGTTTGAATTTTCAGATCGACTTTATATCAGGGTTTACTTTCAGATTAAACCCGAAGATGCTAATACGTTTGAAGATCTCGCAGAGTTGCTAACGAAAGGAATGTCACGTGACGTCCAACAAGTACGCGCAATGTTCTCTTGGGTCATCGGACAGAATGTTCAAGAAATAAAATTTCCTGAAAATGTGATACTTAACTCCCCGATGCAGATTCTGAAGCGCATGAAAGAAGGCAAATCATCATATACCACGCTTTTCACGTTACTTTGTCGGTAAATATGAAGCTTATTTTCATAAGTTGATTCTAAATTTGAATGCATTTGCTTCCTTATACTGAGCAATGTTTTTCCCAATTCTAGTGCAGCGAAAATTCCTTGTGCCATTATTCATGGGTTCGCTAAGAGCGCTGGATATGAAGTCGGCCAAACGGAACTGGAAAACCTCCGCAACATGTGGAATGCCGTCTACATCAATGGTGGATGGCGCTTCGTATTTCCGTTATGGGCGTGTAAGGTAGTGGTTGGGCATAGCACAGGAAAATGGACTCTTGTGGAAGCAAAAGGTCGGCCTTTCTTTCCTTTTTTTCACTCTCTTTCTTTCTCTCTCTCTCTCTCATAAAAAACATTTTAACATCTTGTTTCTTAGCCCTATAAACCGCATACTAGTATTTATAAAGCATTTAATTGTAAATATTATGAACGTTGTGTATATGTATACGATTTGCCTACTTTAAAGCTAACATGTTTTTATTGAAGACGATATCGTTTACAAACTGAAGTAAACTTTGCATATTTGTACATTTGCTGTTTTATATAAAAGGTAAAGGGGTTCGTGAGAAGATGCCAGCTTCCACAGGAGAGAGCGTCAGTACACTGAATGATTATTACTTCCTCCCTGACGCAGAAGAGTTCGTATACCGGTGTTTCCCGGACAACCCCGAGTGGCAGCTACTGAGAAAACCTATCTCAAAAGATGAGTTTGTAGAGATGCCATACTGCCGACCGTCTTTCTTTGAGTATAAGGCAAAAGTTGTAAGTAAACCCAAGTGTGTTCTCATTTCTGAAGACGGGCTGTGTAACATATCCTTAAAAAGTTCCATCATGGAAGACATAATGATGACGTATGAATTATTCTATAATGACGAAGAGTCGAGCTCCCCGATTTCCTCGGAAGTTCAGTTAGATAAATACGTCGCTGTACTTAACCAGAATGGTAAAGTGGCTTTCAACATTCGATTTCCTAGTCCTGGAGTTTATAAAATTGACGTTCACGGGATTTTGAAAGGGGATGCGATGTCCTGGTTGTGTTCATTCAAACTCGTATGCAAAAATGCTAGGATGGACATCAAACCTTTTCCCTGTAACCCGGATGTTGGGTTTGGACCAAATTTTAAAACTGAACTCGCGGGACTGAAGGCTGAAACACATCATGATAGTGTTATAAGCTTTCATAGCAAACGGGAAATGGAAATAAAGTTTATAATGACAAAATATGTGCAAGTACAAAGTAAATTGGTTCATTACAATATGGGTAGTCACCAGTTGAAGAATTTCGTTTCTACACGGGTTGTAGGGAATCAACTCTGCATTGGCTTGGCGATACCACAGAAAGGGGAGTTTGGTTTACAGATTAACACAAAGGGAAATGAAGACAAAGAATTCATAAATGTTTGTAATTATTTACTGGAAGCACAAGATGGGGAAAGAAAACATCGAACCTATGAGGTATTTATTCAATGATATGGAATGTGGATTTATGATAGAGGTTAAATACTGAGAAATTTACATAACTGTATCTTCTCTTTCATTCTCATTCTCTCTCTCTCTGTTTTATTTTTTTTGTTTACAAATTGTATTATACTTAACACGTAATTTTATGTATCATGGCAGACTGCGTCGGAGAAAAAAGCGAGGGCTGAACTAAAGGGATCGCTTCGGTCAAAAGATCCGGTAGTTATCAAGCGTGCTATAGACCAATTTGCCAAATTTGATCTGGATGATAAAGGGGAATTAAAGAAAGCCCAGGACAAGATCGAATATCTCAAGCTATCAAAAGGTTTGTTGATTAAATTAGACTATAGTCACGGAATACTACTAAAACATTCGTTTCTCCGGCCCATTTTACATGTATGTTAAAAATTAAAATTTTATGCAGGTGCTTCTTTAAACCAATGTCATTTCAAAGTTTATCGCCAAGTATAAATAGTCTTAATCTTAAAGTAAAATAAGCAATAAAATGAACAAACAAAAGAAAACTCTCGTTTCCCAAAGAGATATTTACTATATACAAGTTTCTGTCTTTTAATCAAATTTATGGGGGAATGCCCTGTGTTGGAACTTAAATTGTTCAGTCCTGTATCATTTGAAAATTTTATACGCAAAAGATGTTTGAAAGAACCAAAGCAGCCCAATACACCTATTTATATAATCTACACCATAATAGTCAAATGTTTCGAGGACCTTTTTCTTAACCTCATGAATAAATCACAAGATTTCACAAAAGAAAATTCGAGATTATTTTACACTTACAGAAATGTATTAATTAATGTACTCATGTTCTCTAACCCCATTTTTATGTTTTCTAGGATGATTTAGAGGACATTATACCCGGATACCCTCCACCAATGACGAGCCCCAAGAAGAAAAAAATATATATTTACAGAACAAGATAAAAATTCTGCAGATGAGAGAACCAAACAGGTAACAATGTATTACACATAAATAAAACAACAGACAACGTTTGACTGATGGACTATGGCGAACGACGTGAAGGAGTTAAAAATAAATGCTAAATTACTAGTAGTCAAAAGGGTAGTGGGCTGTGTTAAATCCTACTTTACTAAAATAATATAAGATTATTTTTTAAAAACCCATTTATAACTGATACTGCATGTTTTATTCAATTTTCAAAGGCAATTTAAAGGTTCTTGGGGGTAATTTGCATATTTTAGATAAAAGTACTATAGAACATTCTGCATTTTTCATAAATATAGTAAGCCCATCTTAAAGTTCAAAATGTGAAAAGGTCATCAATTCACCTGACAAATGCATTGTAGAAATTATATTTATTATTATATAACGTTTTTCTTGCTTTAATTTCAAAATGAAGAGTAAAGCATTGTAATATTATAATAATAGCATTTGAATTAATTCTTTATGGGCATGTATTTATAATTTTCATATGCATGTAGGTGTTTATAATTAAGATATAAATTATCTTATTTTAGATTAAAGTTGAACATTATCAAACCATGGATGATTTAGCGCATGCTTTGAATCATGGACTAACAAACAAAGTGCAAAAGGTGCATGCAGTCTTCCCCTAGATCGGTTTAAACGGGTCAAAGAGAATGAAACCGAAAAAAATTAAATGAGAAACCAAGATGGCATTTCGCCCAAAATTATTTTACAACAAATTACACAAAGAAGGTTCTCATACAAATTCTTATTTATAAGCCTTTGCAGGTGAGTTTAATTAGAGCACATAATTTGATCAAGAAATCTTCAGACATACATGTGAATGAAATTGAAGATTTGAATTAATAAACTTTGATCTCCAAGGACAGCTAAAATTCCATGCATATGTATACGAGGACTTGGGAAGAGTATATCCTACGAGGTAGGGGACAGAGATGTTGACTATCTGAACAACTCATGGATAACAGTGTATGTAGCCGAAGGGTGGCGCTTTGTGTTTCCACTTTGGGCTTTCTCAGCAGCGGTTGGTCACTCTAAGGGAACATGGACAATGGTAGAAACACAAGGTATGAAATATAATTGAAGATGAACTGACAAACCTAATCACGCGTTACATCAATAATTAGTTACAGTACCCGCATCGTTATTCTTTACAGGATACACGATACGATAGGATACACGCACGATACGATAGGATACACGCACGATACGATAGGATACACGCACGATAGGACAGGATACACGCACGATAGGATAAACGCAAAACACGATAAATGCAAAGCACGATACACGCAAAACACGATAAACGCAAAACACGATAGACCTGATAAACGATATACACGATAGGATAAACGCAAAACCTGATAGGATTGTTTCAAAATGCGGAACGTTTTTTGACAAGACGAAAAGATTATTTTGAATTCAATTTAAAAATTAAAGATTATTTAAATTAAATTATATTTTAATTTAAATACTTGCAGAGCTTCAAATCTAAACTATAAAGTACATTTAATCATTATAAAAAGAACCTAAGATCTCTGTATTAATTTTACAAAAGTTGTTTATTTATATAATTATATAAAGAATTGACAGTGATTAAATGGATTTTTATGAAATTGAGACTGTATTTTTTTTTATTTCTTTCTTTCTTTCTATCTAATAAATTTATCTACATGTACCAAGTTATTTCACGGAAGAAATCTACGCAATAAATTAAATATTTGTATTTAATGTCTAAAGCTTACAATCTGAGATTTTAAAAAAAAATCGCAATTAAATATTATTATCTTAGAAAATAATACAAGTAGAAGACTGCATGGCCGACAGAAAGGTTTAAAGAAAAAGGCTTTAACAAAAGTAATAAATTTAAATTGATAGAACTATCAAGAACGAAACAGCTCAAGAAAATTAAAGCTCAAGAAAATTAAATTTCCTGAATAGAAATCTAAATAATTATTAAAATAATGGCGCTCTGCATTAATACATGTAAACCGTGTCATAAGAATATGAATCTGCTACAACTGCACATGTACGTTTACGCTTATCTCTGACTTATGTACATGTAAACATTTTACATTACAGATACTTCAAACCTCGTATTTATTAACGAATATTGAATGGTTAAATACTTTCTTCTTTACAATACAAAACAGAAAAATTAATTAACAAATATCAAAAGAATGAAATGCGACTTTTCCGACTAAATAATTATAAATCATTGCTATTAAACTCTGTGTGTACTGTTTCTAATAATAACGAAAAATAGGTTTAATTCGGCAAATGAATAATTAAACCTTAAAAATCATTTTACACTGACCCGGTAATCTCATATTAGGCATATTCGAAGGGCAGTATTTTGAAAGTCCGCAACCAATTTAAAATTAGATAAACAAGATCTAACCAAATAGCCAAGTATAATATTGAATTCTAAAATAAAGTTATATACGTATGGAATAAAATCGATTAATACTATAAATTGTTTCGGTGTATTTATCAGTCTTGCATGGTCACGGCGGATAAGACTTCTTCTGTTTTATTTTTATAGTAATACACCGTTAAAAAAATATTGCGAACTAATTTTCATAGTTTAGAATGTTAGAACTATTTCATCCGTTTCTACGATCAATGAAATTGTTTCCTAGAATTAACTTTGTCCGTTTTACGTAGAAAACCCGATGACCTGAAAGTGCATGTACCATAAGTGCAGTATATTTTTTTAAGTTTATTAAAAGACTTATTTACATAAACAGAATGGAAACATTGTACGAATTGAAAAAAGAATCAACGGAGTGCGTTTAGGAACTTCATTTCATTAAACTGATTTATTTGAATTTTTATTTAACATTCAAGATAATTTTTTAATCCATAAATTGTACAATTATTTAATATATTTTGCATTAAATCTTAGATAAAATTGTTCAAACAAGTTAGGAACAAAATCCCGAAAATAAGTAGATGCGTTTCATTAGAACCAGGTAGTATTCGAGGTTACTAATTGACCCCAGGTGAGAAATGATTGCAGGTATGTTGACGGTGATAACACACACGGGCCGAGGTGTCAGTTAGGGGAGAAGGGAGAGGGGGTGGTTGACCGCACAGGAAGACAGTGTGCTAATTAGAGAGCTACACATACGTGTCAGTTTTCTTGTAAGGAAAGGTCTTCGATTTATTTTGATTTTTGGCATCTCGATGGATTATATTTTGAGTTTATTTCCACGCCGAAAAGGTAAGCTGTTAAAAAACTTCATGTTTTTTCCCTGTACATGTATATATTTTTTTATGTTGTCTAATGCCAGATAAAATTAATGAAAATCTTTTATTTTATAGTAACAGCCATGGTGTGATAAATTGGGTAGAATATTTTCATGCATTATATTTTATAATTTTGATTTCTTTTATTAATTTAGACATATGTCATGGAATTTATAATTAGCTTTAAAAAATAAATTTAAAATTTGAACGTATACGGCCAAAATCGTTGTTAAGATCATATGGATAATTGTCTTATGTTATATTATATTTTTTAAATCAAGACTTTAAATAATTGTGCATACATGCAGATCAGAGGCGTAAACATATTCCTAACGTTATCAGACGATAAACAAGGAAAAACAGAATATTGCCTGAAAAAAAGATACATTTCAATATCCTGCTTATTATTTATTTATATGCTTTTTGTGTACAGGAACATCGTAGCTTACCAAAAATCTTTCTCCGGTAACTCCGATTCATTTGAGAAAATCAAATTAATAGTATTTAATTTTGACAAAATAAATCATACAATTCGAGGGCTTATTTTTTAAAGAAATAGACCAGGTGATCGATCTACTTATTATTTCATTTCCGAAAAAAAGAGTTACCGTTTAAATTTTGACAATAACTCTCTGCTTTACCATGATATGATTATTTCATTTATTTAATTAATTAATTATTAATAAATCAATTTAGTCATTCATGAAACACGCGATTAATAATTTTTTCCTTCAACGCTTTAATATTTCTTATATTATAGAAAAAGAAAGGGATAAATCTTTATTTTCTCCTTTATTTTGTCTTTTTCGGTTGAATTAATCTTATTTTTATTTACAAAACGAAAAAGAAACTCGGAATAGCTCAGTAGTTTCTCTACATAGTAAAGATAAAAAGCGAGGGTTTCCGAATATACACGATAAACGCAAAACACGATACACGATAGAACCTGATAAACGATCTACACGATAAACGCAAAACACGATAAACGGAAAACACGATAGAAAACGCAAAACCTGATAAACGGAAAACACGATACGATAGGATACAATAGGATACACGCACGATACGATAGGATACACGAACGATACGATAAGATACACGCACGATAGAACACGATAGAATTGTAAAGAATAACGATGCGGGTACTGTAATTACATTATCAATGGATTCATTATTTAGGTGAAGGTACCAGAAGGGAAAGAAGAACAGTCCGTGGGCCAAACAATCAGCTCAATTGAGGATTATTATTTCCT